CATTGCAAAAAAGGATGCCCCAGTTATTTTGAAATCACACCAGATATTGCAAAAATTTTGGTTTGCATATAACGGCACGTCAAAAACATTAATTTCTTTTCTAGATAACTAATTTTTCGATTATTTTTTCCTGAAAAACAAAGCACTGCTGAGAGGAGCAGTGTGTTTTACTTAGCGGATTTACTTTCTGTCCTAACCATACTGCTGTGTAACTAGGATTTTGTGTGATTTTTACGATATGATATGATACGTTTATCTATCCTAGTCAGCCCGGTCTTGATCAAAAAAAGGTATATTACTGTGATCAAAAAGTATTGAAATTATTTGCCCACATTTAATTTACTTATCAGATTTGAGCAGGATTATAAGCGCTATTCAACGAGTAAATAATGTCAATTATTTTTGGAAGTATTTAAGGCTAAAAACTACAGTATACCCAATTACTATAATCACATAATAATGATAGACCAGCAGTTGTTTTAAGTACCATGCATTACTGTAATCAAGAAAGTACGGGACGCATCTTATCATTGTTATCAAAGAGTTTAAACGTCCATTACATTCAGTTGCCACTGTATTCATATTAAGGTATTTTTAAAGCTTTTGTTGCAAAAATAAGTACCTGTTTTATTTGCAAATTGCAGTTTTGCTGTGCTGAAAAGCTTGCATTTTTATTCAGGATTTTGCAAACACTGCCCATTAATCATGTGGCCAAGCCCATGGCCAAATGTCATACACCGAATCCATGGACAGCCGCCTTTTCCTTACCCACCTTTTTGTGGTTTCACTTTCACGGTGCTCACGTAACAGATAAGTATGTGTAGCATATCTTGCACAACTATTTGAGTAAATTTTATATCGTAGATTCATCCAGCAGCTAGCAAATAAGTTTGACTACGTTAATAACTAAGGCTTTGAAGCTTTGACTACAGACGTACGTGAATGCTAAGACCCAGTTCCTTGAGTTTTTGATTATCATGAGAAGTTTAATAACTCAGACTTGAGGGGACGAAACGATCATCAGAATCGCCAGCAGACTGACTACCAGGGCAATGCAGCACTGGTCAAAGCAACTGAAATAGTTACTAGCAAAATAATTTTGGGATAAAACTACGAACTGCAACTGATCAAATAGAATATGCAAAAAAGCGTAAAACTCAAAACTTCAGGTGAAATGTAATTTGCAGTGGATGTATGGACTCGTCAGAATCGGTGAACGGTCATAACTATGCGAAATACATCGAACCACCAGAACTACCCTTGAGGTATAGGACATCTCTAGATGGGACACGTTATTCGCGTAGCCGTCGTCATCGTTATCGTCACCGATCGGGACAAACTCATGGTATTATCGAGAAAATCCGGAATTTTTCGGAAAATACTACGGCACACGGTGTCCGCCGAATATTCATTGCCCGGAATGCTTATACGGCACGGCTGTGGCTGTTCGGAATAATCCTTTGCTTTGTCATTCTTATTGTACAGGCGCATCATCTAGTGATGAAGTTTAATCGATATGAAAAAATCACCAGTATTGAGGTAAGCTAGTTTCCGGAAATTGTTCCAGACATACCTACTCATTGTGATTTACAAGCGACAACGATTTGGACAAAATAGGGATGGAGGAGGGGTTGAAAAATTGAAATTTACGCACTTGCTTGGGAAGCGACTGTGACTTTATTTTTCAGGAAGCACTTTCATACCGATTTCTAATTTCTTTAGAAAGCGAGATTCTGCAAATTCAGCATGAAGAATGACTGTAACCTCTTTTTTAAGAAGCGCATTACAGTACTTCTTTTTTTTTTTTCTGAACCGAAGTTCGCTGTATTTCGACATTTTTGTTCATTCCCAAGATAAATTGATGTGCCAAGTATCAAGTATAAGTAACAAGTTTACTCGGACATTCGGTGTAGGCATCCATGCCAGTGATATTATTGTGACGCTTCAGTTCGCCAGGCGCAGTTGTATCCAGTCCGCTCCACACTGAACTGTACGTCATCAACTAGCTATCCAACCAAATCCTGGTTCATTACTTAAATTGTGCGTTAACCGCAGTAGCCACCTTCCCGGTAGCATTACTAACATGAGATTCCTAAATCAATCGCTCGAAGGAAATGTGCCAAAAATGTTGA